AGTAGATAACACTCCTTGGGGAGATCAATCATGGGAGAATAGAAGGGCTGTGTACGCACAGGGGTACAGCTCGGGAGGCAGGAGTGCATGAAAGGAAAGGACACAGAGAGGAGGTAACTATGGGGAGGAAGTGAGGGGAGCTGTTGCATTGTGGTAAGTTGTAGTCAATGTCATGAGACAAAGTGTATGCGAGCTGCTGTATGGAAAGTGAATTTGCTCTGTAAACTTTCACCCAAATCACATTAAAAAAAAAAAAAAATCCATGCTCCACCAAGCTATCTACAATCTCCCCCCCCCCCCCAAAAAAAAGTTCTGCATGCCTGGAACATTATCTGGCACCTGGCACGTAGTGAAAAACAAAACAAAAAGAAACAAAAACCTAATTATTTGCCATCAAGTTGAATGAACTCACAGCCATCCCATGTGTTACAGAGTAGAATTGCTCCAGAAGGTTTATTAATTGCTTGTATTTGGTCCCTAGGGTTTCTTGGTTGTCACCTTTACAGAAGTAGATCACCAGGACTTTTTCCTACGGTGCCCTTGGATGGGTTTGATCCACCAACCTTTAGGGTAATAAATACACCAAACAACCAAACTCACTGCCGTTGAGTCGATTCTAACTCACAGCAACCCCCTTCAGGTTTCTGAGGCAGTAAATCTTTACGGAAGTAGATTGGCTAGTCTTCCTTCCACAGAGTGGTTGGTGGATTTGAACCGCCAACCTTCTGGTTAGCAATCAAATGCCTTACGCACTATGCCACCAGAGCTCCTTTTTTAGGGTAATAGTTGAGCAAAATTGTTTGGCACATAGAAAACCAAAAATCCTCTTTCCATCCATTCCAATTCATAGTGCTCCTACAGGACAGCTAACTTCCCTACAGAGTTCTGAAAGCTGTAATCTTTACAGAAACCGAATGCCACATCCTTCTCCCAAGGAGTGCCTGGTGAATTACAACAGCCAATCTTTCGGTTAGCAGCCGAGTGCTTATCCACTCTGCCACCAGGGCTCCTTTTGGCACACAGTAGGTGGTCAGTAAGTATCTACTGAATTAATGAGGGAAAGAGCACATCCTCACCCAACGACAGCAGATGCCTGTACGTCTCCAGCATCACCTCCTTGTACAGGTTCTTCTGCTCACAGCTCAGGCTCTTCCATTCCGCCTCCGTGAAGATCACAGTGACATCTTTGAACATAACTGGTTCCTGGAAGAGGCAGGAAATCAGCGCACAGCAAATCACCATCCATCGTCCCAAGGGGAGGAGCTGAACTGGTGCCCTACAGAGTCTGCCTCTGAACAAGCTCAGCTCCTTCTCTTCACAGAACACAGTTCTCATATCAACTTCTTCTGGACAAGACTGTACACTTGGCTTTGTGACAAAATCTGTGGGGAGCACAAGGGATGCACAAAACACACCCTGGCCCTCAAACCCGAATGACTTCACTGGAGGAAGGATTTGTGAATCAATCTGAAAGCACTAAGCAGTATTCTTGAAAGTAACCTTGAGAATTCAAGATGAGGAATTCCAAAATGGGTGAGCGTGGGATAAGCCAGCAAAGAACAAAAGGCATCACGCAAGTGGAGGTTATGCTAGGCATTAAGGGATGGTAAAGATTTAGAGAGGAAGATGGAAGGAAACTTCAGCTACAGAGGAAAGGACAAGTGAACAGATGGGGTCTGGAAGAAGCATCTGTGAAGAGTTTGGTAATAAATAGGATCTGTAAAATCACTCTTTGTTTACGTATTTTAATAAGCTTTTCTGATAAAGGCTTTAATACCTCATTCATCAGCTACAGTAGTACCTTATCTTTGCAAAACAGTTGGCAAGAGAATGGCAGTAATATTCCAGAAAAAGGATATTTACAGAGAACTTAACATTCAAAAAATCAAAAACACCTCATGGTATTTGGCTCCTTGATTTGGTTTAGGGTCATGGCTTCATGAGACATCTCATGAGATTATATCATAAGGGGTTTAGTGCTTTCAGTCTACTTCCTAGTTTGCTGTATACTGCCTAGGTTCTTATAAGCTTCCAAGTGGCCATCCAAGGTACAATAATTGGTCCCTATTCACTTGGAGCCAAAGAAACAAACAGAGTCAGGAATAGGAGGACGATATGGAATATTTGGCTAACTTACTCCATGAACAACTGCCTTCTCTTCCATGAGACAGAACTGGATGCTGCTGGCTACCATTACTGAACATTTTGATCAAAGATTACCTAGAACACTCCTGATCAAAAGAGGGAAAAATGCAGAACAGAATTTCAAATTTTCATGGATATTAGACTTTCTGGACACATGGAAGGTGGATGAAATTATTGCACTGAGATAATTTATAAAACTTAAACCAAAAATATCCTCTGAACTTATCTTAAAACTGAATAACAATGTGGTAAACTTCCGGTAAGATGGCAGAATAGGCAGACAAGCTCCACCGACCTTCCTCAACAAAGAAAAAGAAACCAACTGCCAGATACAGAAGATAAACCTGGAGCCCTGAGCTTTGAAAGGAAGTATTACAGAAGTGGACTAGGCACCAACTAGTGGGAAAACCTGAATGAAAACAGTGAATATGGAGACAGAGCAGTGGACTATCAGCTACTCTGACAGGACCAATAGTCTGAATATTTCCAAGTGGTGTTGGGACCTGAGAACTGACCTAAAGATCAGCCCTGGTCACCAAAAGCTGCAGGGATAACTGCACTATTGGCCTATGATTAGGAAAGGAAACAGCAAGGAGGGAGACAACTTGAGCTGTGAACTTCCAGCTGTCCAGAAGGTGCAGCCATTTCGATTGTTTACAAGCAGCAGCCATTTTGGATAAAGTGACCAAGGGCACAGCCATTTTGAATGTTTACAAGTGGCTGAAACTACATGATGGTACCTGAGAATCTGTTTTTACTATGGTCTCTATCTCTATATGTTTAAAAAGTTTGATAATTAAAGAGTAAAGAGATGTATGTTCAGTATACAAGATGGTACCATTAGATCAAACATGTATGTGGATGTAGAGTGATATTAAATAGCACATTTAAGATGTTAATAATCTCAGTTTTTCAAAAATATTCCTTATATCTTAGAATTTCCTGGATGCTTAATATTAACTTTAGGTATTATTTCTGTAAAAATGGTGTGGCAAAAGCACATGACCTTCTCCAACTTCACAAGGGGAGAGACAATCACCATCAGCAGCATAGATCAAGGCTGATTCTTATGAGGCAGAGGTCAGAAACATAAGCTTTTGCCAACCTTTTTACCAATTCTGACACCAGCCATCCCTCCCACAGCACTCACTACTTCTCTATTGGGTCTGATAATTCTTTGCAATGGCCACACAGAACTCACAGACCATATTCACAGTTATGGGGTTTATTAGGGAAGTAACAGGTTACAATTCAGGTTTAGGAATGCTCAGGATACAGCTCTTCTATCAAGACAGCCTCTTCTCAGCCATGCCCATAGGTGACTCTTCCTCTGGCCCTCAGCCTGGCTTCTGCCCTTCTCAGGTAAGCATCACAAACCTCCTTTACCTCTGCTGTTAAGTGCCCAGAGGCATCCTATGCTGCCAGTAAGCCTCAGTCCAAAGGCACTCAGCTCTAGTTCTATGGGTCACCAAACCTACCTCCACCAAGTACCCAGAGGCAGCCTACTCCACTAGTAAGCTTCTATGTCTTCTCGCCCCGTGAGGGGTAAAGCCCATCAAGCTGTCTCCTGAAGGTCTCCTGGTTCTGCTGCCTCTGCATCTAGCCATCTCTCTGGTGTTACAGCTTGCTCTCTCTGTTTTCTGGGTTTAGGAGGCTCCAGGCACAGATACCATGCATCCAAAGGATATGCTCTGCTCCCAGTTCTTCTTTCCTGGTGGTAGTGAGATCCCCTTTCTGCTCTGTAATTGGCTCTCTTTTAAACCTAGAGATGGCAAAACTGACCAAAACCCTCCTTAGGATTCCATATATCTTATCTGAATGGTCCCACACAAGAGTCCTGGCAATCTTCATTGCATTAACAGCAAGCTGTCCGATCCCCTTGAAGGGCCACATAGTACTACCAAATCACTTGAGAGGAATATAAAAGATCATGGCTAGAAAGGCCATATTAAATAATTCATTGCACCCCAATTTTTCAACAAGAGAAATAAAATGCAAACACACAGAAACCATTCTAAAATCCCTAACATGGTACCTTACATAAAGGTATGAAATGCCGAAATGACGACCACCTTCTCCCTTCCCAAGACCAAGAATTTTTGACCATTTTCTAGAAAATAAGTCAGTATTTCAGAAAAATAAAATATTCTAACTCACCAATATTTTGGGCTTCCTCTTCTTCTCTGGGGGCCAGTCAGTATCCATAGAAAACAAACCTGAGGGAAGAAAGAGAAGCTCTGTGAGAAAGCAGACCTCCCACAATGCTCCTGGAGCAGCTCTTCTGATCACGGTGGAAGGAAGGAGCCGCCTCACTCAGCTGCGGCCACTAAAGCCTTCTCACCTGACCCTGGAGCCTGGACATGCTCTTCACTGCTCCAGATGCCAACCACTCTCACCTTGTGCCTTATGTTTCTGGGTCAATTTCTTCATGGTCTCCATATCTTCCCTATTCTTTAAAGCCAAAATCTTCTCCCAGTCCTGCTCCCCCCAGGTGGAAGGCTCAGACAACATAATGGTCCCAGAGTCAGTCCAGTGACTGCCTTGAATGTCGGCCACAGGGCCAGATGGAAGTGAATTCGTCTCCAGATGGATCTCTGCTGCCTGGGTGACCTCTTCAGTTCCCCATGATGAAAGGCCCTCTTGCTTCCCTGCATCCAGGACCTGTGGGAGGGAGAAGCAACTGGATGCTGTGGATCCTTTTCTGTGGTCCAGGCCCGTGCAGCAGGGACCCTGTCCTCTCACGCCCTAATCAACAATCAGAATCTCAGTCTACTCGGGTTCCCCAGATTTTCTGTCTTTATTCATTTCTGACCTATAAGCCCTCACGTCTGTCCTCTGATACTCTCCCTTATCTGTCAAAATGTACTGGACTCATCTTGTCCCAAAACCTCAGATTCCAGCTCCATGTCCCAGATCAGTTTTGCTACCTGAATCACAGAGAAGACAGAACACAGCCCAATGCATGGGGAGAAGGAGGCTCTACCATCTCCCTACAGACCAATCAAGGCACAACGGAGTGAGCTTCTGATTCTCTGCAGTGCAGGGAATTACTTCATGTGGCCCTGCAAGCCATCTAGATGCAAAATGAGAAGAAACAGCTGCAAACATTCATCAGTAATCAGAACGTGCAAATGTATGAATCATGAAGTTGGGAAAATTGGAGTTGTCAAAAATGAAATGTAATGCTTAAAGATCAATATCCTAGACATCAGTAAGCTAAAATGGATTGGTAGTTGTCATTCTGAATCAGACAGTCACATGGTGTACTATGTTAAGAGTGACAAATTGACGATGAGTGGTGTTGCATTCATCATCAAAAAGAACATTTCAAGGTCTATCCCGAAGTACGATGCTGTCAGTGACAGGATAATATCCATATGCCTACCAGGAAGGCCCCACCACTCATCTGTCAGTTTGTCATACTGTGGTGGCTTACGTGTGGCTTGTGAGGCTGGAGGCTATGCCACTGAAGTTTCAAATACCAGCAGAGTCACCCATAGTGGACAAGTTTCAGCAGAACTTCCAGACTAAGACAGGGCCGTCTACTTCTCAAAAAATTGGCCAGTGAAAACCTTACCAATAGCTGTGAGACACTGTCTGATATATTGCTGGAAAACTTTATGACTAGTAGCCCTGACACACTGTCTGATACAGTGCCAGAAGATGAGCCCCTTAGGTTGGAAGGCACTCAAAATATGATTGGGGAAGAGCTGCCTCCTCAAATTAGAGTTGACCTTAATGATGTGGATGGACTAAAGCTTTCAGGACCTCCATTTGCTGATGGGATATGACTCAAAATGGGAAGAAACAGCTGCAAACATCCATTAATAATCGGAACATAGAATATATGAAGTATGAATCTAGAAAAATTTGGAGTTGTCAAAAAATGAAATCGAATGTATAAAGATTGATATCCTAGGCATTAGTGAGCTGAAATGGACTGGTATTGGCCATTTTCAATCAGACAATCACATGATATACTATGCCAGGAATTACAAACTGAAGAGGAACGGCATTGCATTCATCATCACAAAGAATGTTTCAAGATTGATCCTGAAATACAATGCTGTCAGTGATAGGAAAATGTATATATGCCTACAAGGAAGACCCATTAAGACTACTATTATTCAAATTTACACACAACCACTAAAGCCAAAAATGAGGAAATTAAAGATTTTTACCAACTTCTGCAGTCTGAAATTGATCAAATATGCAATCAAGATGTATTAATGATTACTAGTGATTAGAGTGCAAAACATGGGAACAAAGAAGCATCGGCAGTTGGAAAATATGGCATTGGTGATAGAAATGACACCAGAGATTGAATAATAGAATTTTGCAAGACCAATGACTTATTATTCATTGCAAATACCCTTTTCCCACATCATAAACACTGGCTATACACATGGAACTCACCTAAGAGAATACACAGGAATCAGATCAACTACGTCTATAGAAAAGAGATGGAGAAGGTCAATATCATCAGTCAAAACAAGACCAGGAGCTGACTGTAGAATAGATGATCAACTACTCATATGCAAGTTCAAGTTGAAGCTGAAGAAAATTAAAACAAGTTTATGAAAGCCAAAATATGAACCTGGTTATATCCCACCAGAATTCAGAAATAATCTGAAGAACAGATTGGATGCATTGAACCAGATTTGATGACCGAAAACCAGACGAGTTGTGGGACATCAAAAACATCATCACGAAGAAAGCATATGGTCATTAAAAAGACAGGAAAGATATTCAAGCGGCCAACAAACATATGAAGAAATGCTCACGATCATTAGCTATTAGAGAGATGCAAATCAAAACAACAATGAGATACCATCTT